GGAAAACGATATTTCATGACATTGATTGATGATGCTACTAGATTTTGCTATGTGTACTTGTTGAAAACGAAAGACGAGGCTCTAGACTATTTTAAAATTTATAAGGCAGAAGTTGAAAATCAACTTGACAGAAAGATAAAAAGGCTTAGGTCTGATCGTGGTGGAGAGTTTTTCTCGAACGAGTTTGACTTATTCTGTGAGGAACATGGCATCATACATGAGAGGACGCCTCCCTATTCTCCCGAGTCTAATGGGATTGCTGAAAGGAAGAACCGCACACTGACTGACTTGGTGAATGCCATGTTGGACACCGCGGGACTGCCTAAGGCATGGTGGGGGGAGGCATTGTTGACCTCAAATCATGTGTTAAACAGAGTTCCTAACAGAAATAAGGACAAAACACCATATGAGATATGGATTGGTAGAAAACCATCACTTTCTTATCTGCGCACATGGGGGTGCTTGGCGAAAGTCAATGTACCAATAACGAAGAAGCGCAAACTTGGACCTAAGACTGTGGACTGTGTTTTTCTGGGATATGCTCATCATAGCATTGCCTATAGATTTTTAATAGTTAAATCCGAGGTACCGGACATGCATGTTGGTACAATTATGGAGTCTCGTGATGCTACCTTCTTTGAGAGCTTTTTTCCAATGAAGGATACACATAGTGGTTCGAACCAACCCTCTGAAATAATTCCCAGTTCAATCACACCACCAGAACAAACTGAACATACACATGAACTTGTCTCTGAGGAGGATGTCAGTGAAGCTCCTCGAAGGAGTAAGAGACAAAGGACGGCTAAGTCTTTTGGTGATGATTTCACTGTGTACCTCGTGGATGACACTCCTAAGTCAATTTCAGAAGCATATGCATCTCCTGATGCAGACTACTGGAAGGAGGCTGTCCGTAGTGAAATGGATTCCATTATCGCTAACGGGACTTGGGAGGTGACAGAGCGACCCTATGGGTGTAAACCTGTGGGGTGCAAGTGGGTGTTCAAGAAGAAGCTTAGGCCTAACGGTACTATTGAAAAGTACAAGGCTCGGCTTGTTGCTAAGGGCTATACTCAGAAAGAAGGCGAAGATTTCTTTGACACTTACTCACCTGTTGCTAGATTGACCACAATTCGTGTGCTACTTTCCCTAGCAGCCTCACATGGTCTTCTCGTTCATCAAATGGACGTTAAGACAGCTTTTCTTAATGGAGAGCTGGATGAGGAGATCTATATGGATCAACCTGATGGGTTTGTAGTTGAAGGTCAAGAAGGCAAAGTGTGCAAATTGTTGAAGTCTTTGTATGGTCTGAAACAAGCTCCTAAGCAATGGCATGAGAAATTTGACAAAACATTGACATCTGCAGGCTTTGCAGTCAATGAGGCAGATAAATGTGTGTACTATCGCCATGGTGGGGGTGAGGGAGTTATTTTGTGCTTGTATGTTGACGACATACTGATATTTGGGACAAACCTTGAGGTGATAAATGAGGTTTAATCATTCTTGTCTCAAAATTTTGATATGAAAGATTTGGGAGTAGCTGATGTTATCTTAAACATTAAGCTAATTAGAGGTGAGAATGGGATTACTCTCTTGCAGTCCCATTATGTGGAGAAGATCTTGAATCGCTTTGGCTACATTGATAGTAAGCCTTCTCCAACACCTTATGATCCTAGCTTGTTGCTTCGCAAGAACAAGAGAATTGCTAGGAATCAACTGGAATACTCCCAAATCATTGGCTCGTTGATGTACCTGACTAGTGCAACTAGGCCTGATATCTCCTTTGCTGTGAGCAAGTTGAGCCGATTTACTTCTAATCCGGGAGATGATCACTGGCGTGCGCTTGAGCGAGTAATGCGCTATCTGAAAGGTACTGTGGAATTGGGGCTTCACTATACTGGGTATCCTGCGGTACTGGAGGGTTATAGTGATTCTAACTGGATCTCTGATGTGGATGAGATCAAAGCCACTAGTGGATATGTTTTCACACTGGGTGGTGGTGCTGTTTCATGGAGGTCTTGCAAACAGACAATTTTGACGAGGTCAACCATGGAAGCAGAACTAACGGCACTGGATACTGCTACTGTTGAGGCAGAATGGCTGCGTGATCTATTAATGGATCTGCCTGTTGTTGAAAAACCGGTGCCGGCTATCCTTATGAACTGTGACAATCAAACGGTAATTGTCAAAGTGAATAGTTCTAAGGATAATATGAAATCGTCTAGACATGTGAAAAGACGATTGAAGTCTATCAGGAAATTAAGAAACTCCGGAGTTATAACGTTGGATTACATCCAAACAGCGAGAAACCTGGCAGATCCCTTTACGAAGGGACTATCACGAAATGTGATAGACAATGCATCGAAGGAGATGGGTTTGAGACCCATGTGAGTTATACTATGGTGGTAACCCAGTCTATGTGATCGGAGATCCCGTGAATTAGATCCTGGGAAGAACAAACCATTAATAAACTAGAGGAGAGTACCAATATATATACCCTATCCAAGTGAAGATGCATATACTCTCGTGAGCTGCAAGGCAGGTTGGCTATGCTTTAATGAGTTCTGTTGGCTTTAATTAGCAAAGATGTTGTCCTGCAGAGCATTCTTGAAGGAACTCACCTTTGTGAGCTTGACTGTTGGTCGCAGTCTATGAAGATTTTGGGTGAATCTTCTAGGAAGCTTACTAAAGACCTAGGAGTATGACTTATACGCTCCACCCGAGGGGTAGTCTACAGACGGTCTAGTACCAGATAAGACTTTGAGTGAAACTTGCTTGCACAAGACTTGCAATTCAAGGCGTAGTCCATTGTTCAAGTTGTGAGTAAGTGTAGCTTGGAGTTCTAGGTGGATGTTCAACCTTAATTGGTCTCCATCGAACCGCTGGTATATAAACAGTACATTGGAAAAGGCAAATCTCAGTGGGATTTTGAGATTTGGTGGGGGATTGTTGGAATTAATGAATGGGCCTTAGCCCACTCGAAGATTAATTCTTTGGAAAATCACAAAAGCCCACCTCATGGGATGGCATGCATGTGGAGTTTAGTACCACCTTGCTTATTCTAGGAGAGGGGGACCTCCTTAAAAGGGAGGATGCCCTCCTAGCCACTTGAAGCATGTGTGGTGGAGAGAAGAGGGGAAACACACGCGCGCGCTCGCTCGCCTCGCCTGGCAGGGCAGGGCAGGGCAGGCGGCGCGCGTGCACGACGTACGCGTCGAATGGTCCGAAAAAATTGGCTCCTCACCCTTGCGCAGATGCAGCCTCCTTTTGCAGTTTTGTTTTGCTGCAAATTCGGATTCGTTTTGTTTTGGAAACGTTCCGAAAAATCCGGTGCGTGCAAACGGCGTGGAGTCCGGATAAGTTACGCGCGACTTATCCGGTTCGGTTACGCGCAGTAGAGATCGTGCGGGCGCCCTGATCAAGCGACCCTTCTCTATATAAACCGACCCGCCGTCTTCACGCAATATATGCGAAAATCAATCTAGGGTTTGCCTCCTACTCTGTACTGCGCCGTCGCTCGTAGACTACTCCATCCCGCTCGCCGGCGTGCACCAGCGATCGGGAGAGCAGGTCTCCGGAACCTCTGCCTTTGACGTCCTGCACCGGGAGAAGGCGGCAATAAGGTTTTTGGGAAGCGCTTCGCGCGACTGCTCCCTGTTCGTTCACGACGGCTCGCCTTCCTCTTCGCTCGCGTGTTTCGTGCCTTCGTAGACACCTGCGAAAAGTTTCGACCAAGCAGCCGGTCTTTTCGTCACCTCGGTACGTGTTCAATATGTTGCGCATATTTGATCTGTTCATGTTATTCTGCGTAGTTTACATGTGTAGATCTAATGATGCGTTCATGCTAGTTTTCATCTGTAATGTCATGATTTATTTATGGAATAAATTAAATCATTATATGCCCATAATCTCAACAACAGTATGGTTGGCCGATGCCGCTGACTGCCGCCGGGAAGGTCTCCACGACTTGCCGGAGTTGGTCATAGATTTCCATGTGAGACGTTCCGTCGGCCGCTTCGGCAGTTGAGGAGGAAGCCATGAAGTGTGTAGTCCTACGAAAACAATAATGAGTCTTAGTCCCGTGAACCTGACAATATATGATTGAGATGTAACTTGCAAACATGCATCTAAGAGAAGAGACAAATCCCAGCAGAGTTCTCAAGCTAGCTGGCACTGATAATCCACCATTAATTGATTGTTAGAGTCTGTACATCCGTACTTATGTGACCTATTTTTCATTCCTTAATTCCCTCCTCTCAAATTATGGTGTTAGGTTGAGAAATTTCATGAACATGGGGGTTAAACTTTACCTTGCAAAAAAATGCTGTTTTTTCTGAGGGACAAATTTATCATGGTGTCTAGTAGTAAGATCAGCTTTAATTAACTATGCGCACCGAAACAAGGGTTTGGTAGTGATGTAATTGTGAATTACAGTCTTTCTTTTCAGAGATGAAATCATGCAAACTACTTTCTAGACTAGAAGGTAATGGACAATCATCTCAATAAAGTATATATACGACATACTCCTAGTTGCTAAGTGTAAGATCAGTTCAGCTAACTATAGATGTGACTCGAAAAAATAATTTGGAGGAAAACAAATGGAAGAGCAGATTAGCAGGTCCGTAGCATATCATCCTTATAGCCTTGGACAGTTGGACTAGAATCGCAGTTTCTCTTTGCTCGTGCCTCCCTATGCCAATTGAGGTAGCTCGTTTTACTGCTCTAAAATAAATTGTTTTGGACATTGAATGGTCCTTCGGTTCAAGTAATAATCAATGGTTTAATGTTTTTTGCTTTTTTCCCTCAGTATTTTTATTTTTATTTCTAATTTATTAGAGTGTCACTTGGTGGTATAGAAATGTTTCGGAGGATGTTTAATAATCTTTAGCATATCAAGAAACAGTGTGGATCATTTGAACGTTATTAGTGAATTTTGATGAATGATCTGAAAACTGTATGACGATAGTTACGTACACCAAACTAATCCACAAAGCCAAACAACCTAACAACCCAACTCACGGCTAACCGGCAACATTTTATTATATTACTTGCAATGATTTGATTTACAAATTTCCAGTACATATATGTATTTCTTCACTCGTGAATACGCAAGAGATTGTATCTCTATTAAACACCGAAAACGGCACACAAACTATTTTTTGAAAGAAAAAACATATACTCCTAGTTTGTTTTAATTTATTCTCTTTTTACTTGTAAAAACTGCGGATGTAACAACAAGCCAGACCCTTTAAACTTGCTCTTTGTAATCTCATCAATCCTCCTTGCCATCTCTGGCGTCAGGTGGTTTCTCCAATCTCCGACCACGCCACGCCGGAAGAACGTGTTGTTTGGGACAGTGCTATCGACTATGGTGATCGTTCCCGACCGATTCACCTCTAATCCGGACATGTTCTCCAATGCGCAGGCCTCCACGATATTCCTATCCACCCCGTGCTTCTGCTCCTCCGTCGTGAATGGACATCCGACAAACTCGGCAAGGCGTCTCAACTGGCCGAGTGTGTCGGCGGCGAGCTCCTCGTAGGTCAAGAAGAGTACCTGGTTCGGCTTCTCGACGTGCCACCTCCAGTAGCCGAGGATATGCTCCCAGAACGGCCCAAACTGCGAGACGCCATCGCAGAATTGCCGGTGCGCCTCGTCGATGTCCCACGGCATGAACCTGTTCCAAAAGTGCCAGAGCGAGACGAAGCAGTCCTTGGGGTCCCGACAAAGGTACACCACCTTACAACCGGATGTAGCGACGGAGTTTGGCAGTGACTGGGACGGGATGTGCGTCATAAACAACCGCGGCGAAGATAAGGAGCTCAGGTCAGGGATCCGGTCATTGACGAACACCTGGGACTCGAGGAAAGGGACGAGCTGGTGCGGGCTGTGCGCCACCAGCTCGTCAGTTCCGCGGTGGAGAGTCGAGTACAGAAGCACCTTGAGCCAAGTGGTGCCGGACTTGGGGAAGGTGGTGAGGAAGATGTCGGTGGCGCGCGCCGTCAGGTGCTCCTTGATCACCATGGAGCTCACAACCCCATTCGTGAACGTGTACCACCCGTCCGGGTGGCGGCTGCACGGGAGGCCGATGAGGCTGGGAGCCGACGGAAAGGTCTCTGCGACTCGTCGGAGTTGGTCGTATATCTCCTTATGAGCTGTTGCTTCGTCGGCCGACTCGGGTGCAGAAGAGAGCCGGAAGGAGGGCGCCATGAAGAATGAATCCAGCAGAACACCAGTTAATGAGCAATGTATTTTTTCTTTGATCCAATCATACTCTCTGGGAGTATGAAGTGCAAATATATAGTACTATCTCGGAGAGGAGAGTAGTCCGGAAGTAATAATAAAGTATTCAAGTTGACATTAATTAGTATTAACTTGTTATTATGTCTAGGTGTTAGCATCTTTTTTAGATCATCAAAGATTTCGTTGAACAATAGCATCTCTAGTTATGTAGATTAATTTTATCTCTTTTTCTTTCTTTAATGCACGTGATGCTCAACTTGAGCTTGAAAAAAGTTGTTAATGCTTCGGAGGGTTAAATTTACCGTGACATATGGATTTAGCTCTTAGCGGAGGGCATTATCTTGTCCATTGTATAGTTTTTTCTTTACAAAGTTCCGGGGGGGGGGGGGGGGGAGTTTCCCCACCTGAATTTTATGAAAGGAATGAAGACTTGCAGTTACATCTTAGATTACAGAGTTTCGAAAAGCAGACGATAGTGTTTCCTTCCACGAGGAAACAATGCCCCTATCATCCGAATTGAAACGCTTTGCCCAAAGAGTTGCATCATCTATACATTTAGTTACTAGTCTACGCAAGGATGTTTGCAGCCCCTTGAAAACAACATCATGCCTGTGGTTCCACAGGCCCCAAAAGCAGAGAAAGAAGAAGACTCTGAAGTGCTTGATGGGAATGCCATCTAGGCGGCCTAAACTTGCGAGATTGGCTGAGCTTGTCAGTCCTGGGACAATCTAAATGGTCGACCAGAACGTCTGAGAAAAAGAGCAATCAACACAGAAATGAAAAGCATTTTCTTCTAAAACACCACAAAGATCGCAGTTCACGGACGAAACAATTTTCTTTTTGTACAGGTTCTGCTTTGTGGGGAGGCGTTCTTTAGATAATAACCAAATGAAGAACTGAATCTTCGGAGGAGATTTACTTTTCCAAATTATTTTCCAATTTTGGTCGTCTTGGCGGTCTTCATGCAAGTACTCGTAGATTTGCTTGGACTTCAAGATGGTGGCGTGTGGAGCATTGAGGGCTCCCCTTTCGTTCAGTTGATCAACTTAGTACGAAATCACTCAAAGCGAGAAGGAGATGTTGTAGCTGAGAAGGAGATCTTGTCCATTGTATAGTGATAGCAGATGGTGGTATTATCTTGCTCATTGTATTATGATTGATGACAATCGTGAGAACGATGTATATCAAAATACATTCAATGTTATATTTAATGAAACTAATTTAGTATTATTGCTAATTATTTTTATAGATAGATTTGATAAAATGTCAAAACGATTGATAAGATGAAACGAATGGAGTAGTTGCTAAGTTAGTGAAACCTATATAATCTTGGACATAGTAAACTATGACAAAATATGACTGGCAACCTAACGCGTCGTATTTTACTATGACATTGATGAGTGGATTAGCTCTTAGCAAGATGCATTATCTTGCCCATTTTATAGTATATATACACTACACTGATCAGAAGATATCATTAGGATCTTACGATGAAAATTATTGATCGAACATGATAAGACAAGCGTTATTAATTATCAACCTAAAGCACCAAAGTGTACTGATCATTTATAGTTTAGCAGTAAGCTTGTAGACTTCTAGTTTGGTTAGTTACACCCACCGATATGACAACGATATAATAACTAGGAATTGCATAGTGTTGTATTTCAGATATACATCATGCAAAACTAGTACTCCATAAGATATGCGAACGTGGTTGCGAAGCGTAACAGTAGGTCAGATCGATCCATTATTAATTACACAGAAAGAAATATCTAGTATACTTTATAAACCAAACTTGAAGAATAGCCGAGTGTATCTGCACGCTTCTAAACATGACATCCATCAGCAAAATTGCAAAGGACGGCTGCAAATTAAAGGTGAGATCACCAGGCTACATTCATTAATTACCTATCAGTCCAGCACGACATTTTAGAGCATCATATCGATCATATCTTGCTATAAAATTATAACCCACTAATCTTAAAGATCAATATATAAACATGTCACATCATTATCCACTAGCAATAATTACATATAAAACTTATGTAAGCATGCAATATCATCTATAATTCATTGAATTTTACAAATCATCATCCAATCATCTTCCTTCACATTATTTTTAACAATATGCATTTTTAACAATATGCATATATGTATCCATCATTTTTATAATACTTAATATATATTCATCCATATAATCAAGTGCGGGATATCATATTTCATCTATAATTTCATACATAGTCTGCTAAATGTATCTCTCTGAATATAGTTTGACAAACCAGTTTTATTTATTGTTAATAACTAATATAATTTTTACTTTTATCTCGATTATTAAAAAATATTTAAAGTTACATAGAAATTTCCACAGCAAAGCGCGGGGAATCACCTAGTATCTTTAAGGCATACACCCTTCGTTCAAAAAGAATCATTTCTATGGATGAATCTAAATAAATGCATATCCAGATTCCTAATAAGAAGTACCGCCGAACACCACCAAACACGACTTTGCAAACACATAGAAACAATGGAGTATGTGGACCTTGCCGACACAATGAGCAATGCATCATCTGAGAGAGACAACCGCCGCAACGGGTGACCAGATTCTCGGTGTAGATGACCCAAGGTTCCTCGTCGTGCATTGCGTCAAGCAGATCTAGGGCCGAAGGGCGTGTTCTAAAAAAAAAGAAAGGCAATGGCTCAAGAACTTCACTGCAAATATGCGGATCTTACACTTTGGAACCAAAATGGGATAGCGGCAAACGTGTGCTTGGACCATTATAAGTTGGGCCGGAATGGTACTGGGACCTCGGTGAGGGCCCTTTTTTTCCTCAATGTGACTGAAGCCAACATGAGACCCATGATAGGTTGATCGGCTTCCGATCGGCTCCTTTTTTTTAAAGGAACACAACAGGGGAGGCACCTGTTGTTTGGGAAAACTTTATTAATAAAGTAAAAGGGGTCTGAAAAGAAAATTGCAACAAACTAATCCAGCTCATGGCTACATTTTTGTCTCTCTTATTCAATCTCAACAACAAAAGGAGAAGATTACCCTGAAGGAGCTGCCTCCAAGAAGTTGTGCCGGAATGGGTTTACCACTTACATGCAGGCTGGGCCGGAACCATCGGTACGCCAGAACGACTATACACGTAGGTGAATCCAAATCGCAAGACATAACCGACGTTTCATTTTTTGTATTTTCTAGTTAATCTATGCTTTTCTAGTTAATGAGGCCGAGGATGTAGTCGTTGATGAACAGCTGCGACTCGAGGAAAGGGACGAGCTGGTGGAAGGACTGTGCGCCACCAGCTCGATCGTGAGTGCCACAGTGGAGAGCGGAGTTCAGAAGCACCTTGAGCCAATGAGCCATGTGCTGCCGAGTGAAGAAGCTAGCGCCCTGATCCAATGAACCATGTGGTGCCGGACTTAGAGAAGGTAGCGATGAAGACGTTGGTGGCACGCGCAGTCAGATGCCTCTTGTTGAGCATGGCGCTCACAACTCCCTGCCTGGACATTTACCAGCCATCGGGACGGCGGCAGCATCAGCATGACTTGCTCTGACTTGTTGATCCGTCGGCCACTTGGGCCGTTGAGGAATGAGGAGGCGACCATCACTAGTACAAATCCTTCTATCTGTGACGGGCTCTAATATGCTTAGAAATAGCGGGCCGTCACAAGGAAGTCATCTTAATCGAGCCGAAAAGTGCCCGATTAAGATATGGTCGTACAGACATGTTAGATGGGTATAAAACTTAAACCCGTCACGAATAACACCTATCAGTGACGGGCCACAACTTTAGGCCCGATTGAGATAACATTCCATATCTCAAACGGGCCTCAAGTTGTGGCCCGTCACAAATGACCATCATCTGTGACATGCACCATCTTGAGGCCCGTTTAAGATAACAACTAGGCCCGTTACAGATGACTCATCAGTGACGGGCTATATACTTAATCTCTATCGGGCATGAACTAAAACCCGTCACCGATGACTATTTTTCCATTTTTCATATGAAATGTTTATATTTGTAAGTTAACTATAGCAAAATAATTTTACGGGTAGTAAATGATTTCAAATGGAAAAAATGTCAACAATAAAGTTGTATAACTTATCAATATTTACAACTTTTAGTTTGGTCATTTTTCAATATAACATTTTTTTGAACAATTTGAATTTGAATTTAAAAATATGACAACTTCAAACAACATTTTCAAATACTAATGATTTCAATTGAAAAAGTCATCAACAACAAAGTTGAATAACTCATCAAGATCTAAAACTTTTATTTTTGTTATTTCTTCATCTGACGAAATGTTAGTAATATTATTCACAAATTTTACATATATGTGTTATAGTTTATAAAACCAGATAAGAGATATGTCAATTTTGTGAACAATGTTACTATCACTTTGTCGTATGAAGAAATGACCAAAATAAAAGTTTTAGATCTTGATGAGTTATTCAACTTTGTTGTTGATGACTTTTTCAGTTGATATCATTTAGTATTTGAAAATGTTGTTTGAAGTTGTCATATTTTTAAATTCAAATTCAAACGGTCCAAAAAATGTTATATAGAAAAAATGACCAAAATAAAAGTTATAGATTTTGATGAGTTATACAACTTTGTTATTGATGACTTTTTCAGTTGAAGTCATTCACTGATCTAAAATTCTATTTGAACTTTTCAAACTTTGAATTTCAAATTTCAAATTGTTTAAATAGAGTCAGATGGAGAAATGACCAAAATAAAAAATTTGCATCTCGATGAGTTCTACAACTTTGGTTTTGGTGACTTTTCCATTTGAAATCATTTAATAACCCCAATTTGACATCCTGGCCTAGGGCATAATAAGATTAATAGAATACTCATACCAACATATTACAATTACTTTTCCGGAAGCCAATCTCTAAAGAACTTTGACATTAAGTGTGCTTGGTCTGGAGCACCGATTGAGATAGCTCTTCACATCAGTGACTTCTAGCCTGTGACGGACGCCATGCCCGATTGAGATGGGGCTTACCGCCCGATTAAGTTGAGGGTATCCGTTCTAGTGCATGAAGAGTATTCTATGCAGAATATATGAGCATTACAGCATATGAGTGTAAGTTGCAAGTATCTAAGAGAGGAGACAAATCCCAGCAGAGTTTTTAAGCTAGCTGACACTGATAAATCACCATTAATTGATTGTTAGGTTGTTAGCGTCTGTACATCTGTATGTGACCTCCCTCCATTCAAGAAAAACTCAATTCTGAATATGAACCTGAACACATTAGATTTTTTTCTTTGGATGGAGAGAGTATTTTTCATTCCTTATTCTCTCCTCTAAAATTATGGTGTTAGGTTGAGAAATTTCATGCACATGGAATTAAATTTTACCTTGGAAAAAAAATGTTGTTTCTAAGGGTCAAATTTTATCATGGTTCCAATAGGTGGATTCAGCACTATCGTAGGATCCCATTTTGGTGACAACAGAGAGTTTAGAATATCGAGATGATATCATTAGGCTTTTGCTCCAAATTTACTGATAAGAATGTTGTTGTTAACGCAAATCACTCAACTTAACTTCAGATAAAAACACAAATCACCCAACTGTAATAATATTTACTACTCCCTCTGATTTTTAACGTTTGACGCTCTTATCCAACAATCTTAAAGTTCTGTAAATTTTGCTGGACCATATCTGCAAGTTGTACGAAGAAGATAATCGTGACACAAAACCAATCCACAAAGCCAAACAACCAAAACAAACACAACTTACTACTAATAGTAGTAGAGTATTATTCGAGGCAGCTTTCAATAATTTCATTTATAGACATACAGTACACACGATGTTTTCACTTTTTGTTTTCATAAATAGGCAAGAGGTTTGCATGTTTTTTATTAAGCAGAGAAATAAGTACAATAATGAGAAGATGTTCCTCCACTTCACACGTGATCATACTCCTATAGTTCGTTTAATTCTCTTTTTACTTGTAAAAACGGTGGATGCAACAGCAAGCCAGATCCTTTAAACTTGACCTCTGTAATCTCATCAATCCTCCTCGCCATCTCCGGCGTCAGGTGATTCCTCCAATCTCCAACCACGCCACGCCGGAAGGATATGTTGTTTGGCACGTCTTTCTTGGTGAAGTTGGTCATCCCCGATCGATTCACCTCTAACCCCGATAAACTTTCCATGGCACAAATCTCCACGATCTTTCTGTCCACTCTGGCATCCTGCTCCTCCGTTGTGAATGGGCGCCCGACGAACTCGGCGAGGCGTCTCAGATGGCCGAGAGTGTCAGCGGCGAGCTCCTCGTAGGTCAAGAAGAGTACCTCGCTTGGCCTCTCGACGTGCCAATTCCAGTAGCTGAGGACGTGCTCCCAGTAAAGCCCAAACAACGAGACACCATTACAGAATTGTCGATGTGCGTCATCAATGTTCCATGGCATGAACCTGTTCCAAAAGTGCCAGAGCGAGACGAAGCAATCTTTGGGATCCCGGCACAGGTACACCACCTTGCAGCCTGAGGCTGCGACGGAGTCTGGCAACGATTGAGACGGGATATGCGTCATCAACAGCCATGGCTCCGGCAGGGAGCTCAAGTCAGGTATCCGATCTTTGACGAACACCTGAGACTCGAGGAAAGAGATGAGCTGGTGGGGGCTATGCGCCAGGAGCTCGTCAGCCCTGCGGTGGAGAGCCGAGTACGGAAGCGCTTTGATCCAAGTGGTGCCGGACTTGGGGAATGTGACGAGGAAGATGTCGGTGGCGCGTGCCGTCAGGTGGCTCTTGACGACCATGGCACTCACGACCCCCGCCGTGGTCATGTACCAGCCGTCGGGGTGGCGGCTGTATGGACGTCGATGCCGCTCGGCGCCGTCGGAAAGGTCTCCGCGACTTGCCGGAGTTGATCGTAGATTTTCTTGTGGGCTTTTGCTTCGTCCGCCGCTTCGGTTACAGAGGAGAGCCGGAAGGAGGAAGCCATGAAGAGTCCACACTAAACAGCAATGAACAAAATTATGTGATCTTGTGACTCTGCAGTGTGTAGAGTAGTGCAAATCAATATACATATAGGTGAAGAGACACAAATTTTACGCGTTCGCGAAAAAAGAAGAGACACAAATCGGGAAGTCATGATCAGTGTTCAAAAACTGATAATGACATTCTAACTTCCTGGCATTAATTGAGTTGTTCTCACACCTCTCTCTCTCTCTATATATATATGACCTTTTTTTAGTGCACATCGTGCTCAGCGTTAGCTTGCACAAAAGTATTCATGCTTACCATGACGTCGTCACACGTAGTATACTGATCAGAAGATAACATTATGGAGTACTCTTACTCCGAAAAATATGGATCAAGCATGATAATAGTGTACGTTACTGTCAACTTGTTTATTAGTAATATCGGCTTCTAGTTTGATATACTACACATACCGACACATGGGATTTGGCACTGATATAATTATTGCAAATTGCATTCCAAAAATGCATCGTGCCATCGTGCAACCTACTTCCATAAAAAACTCAATTGTTGATTTGGATCTGGATGTAGTGTATGTCCAGATTTAAACTCAAGATTAAAATTTTTATGGGACAGAGAGAGTGTAGGATCATAAAAGGCCTTTTCCACCCCAAAAGGTAGCCATTGAGATGAGGGGCTCCTCCACTTATATCTTAGGTGCTTTGCCCTTCCACAATCAATGTGGGACTATTCAACGGGGAGTACTAGTAAACATCTATTAATTTATCAAAGAAATAGAAAAAGAAGCCTCCACGTTCGCTCTCATGGGAGGAATCTTCCCATCGTGCGCCCGATGCCCGGAAAAAATCAGCCGGTCAAATGTTTCTATTAACTAACGAGTAAAACATGTTATATATGGTGAAAAAAAAGCAACTAAAACATTTAAAAATTTTACAAAACATGGTGAAGATACACGTTGAAACATATCGCTATTGCATATAATTAAAATAGCTAATCTTAATGGATTGAAACATATGTTTTTCTTTAATCAAAATATAATCATGCGATATCTCGATGTAAAGATTTAATTGTAACAAATACACGGTGTGATCGGATCATAGATTGGATAAATAGTTTAGAAGAAAAATCGTTTTGAAACTCGCTAAAATGCATGCATGCATGAGGTGGAGAGAGAGGAGTGAGAGTAGTGGCAGCAGGTAGTTTCAAGAATTTTGTGAAACATACTAACGACACCTATTGAAACATTTCACTATCACGTATGAAACAATGAGTGTTAATGGATTGAAACATATATTTTTTTCGCCATAATATAATATTGTGATATCTTATTGTAAAGATTTAATTACAAAGAATACAAGGTGTGATCAGATCGTAGATTGGATAATTAGTTGAGAAAATTCATTTTAAAACTCACTAAAAAGCATGCATGCATGAATGAGGTGGAGAGAGAGGAGAGGGAGAAGTGGTAGATAGTTTCAGGAATTTTGTAGAACACACTGAAGACACATATTGAAACATATCACTATTACGTCTGAAACAAAGAGTGTTAACGGATTGAAACATATATTTTCCTTTTGTCATATTATAATCATGTGATATATCTATTATATTATTAAAACAGCCTTGAAAGAAGACATCACGTTCACTGTGGGGGCTAGAAATTCCCACATTAATCGGAGAAAAAGAAAAGAAGAGTCTAACTAGGAATACAATTTAAAAAAAGTGAAATTCGAAATTATAAATAAGCACTATTGAAAGAAAAGTCCTCATAGGAACACAATACGAGATTAATTAATATTCAGCATAAAAAATAAAATAAAATCCGAAATTAGCAAAATAAAAAAAGAAAAAGAAGAGTTCGAGTAGAAATACAATTTTAAAATAACTAAAATTCGAAATTAAAATTAAGCAAATTTGAAAGGAGAGTCCATATAAAAACCCAATACGAGATTATTAAAATTTGGAATAAAAATAAAATAAATTAGAAATTAGAAAAAAGAAAAGAAAATAAGAGCTAAAGTAGTAATACAATTTAAAATTAACTAAAATTCGGAATTAAATATAAGCAATATTGAAATAAGAGTACATATAAGAACCCAATAGTAGATGAATTAAAATTCGGAATAAAAAATAAAATAAAATCCGAAATTAGACAAATTAAAAATAGAGTTCAAGTAGGAATATAATTTTGAAATGACTTAAACTTAAAATAGAAAATAAAAATATTAAAAGAACACATTACAATATTAGTTAAAGTTTGAAAAAAAATAAAATAAATTCTAAAATTAGAAAAAGAAAAAATATTTCAACTAGAAATATAATTTATAAATAACTAAAATTGGTGATAAAAAAATAAAGACTATTGAAAGAAAAAAGATCATCTATAACACATCACGAGATTAATTAAGTAATATGCCTATAAAAGAGTAGAGTTGTGACGGTTGATGGGACATCTAAAAACTATTAATAAAACACCAAATAGAATTCTAATGACGATTAAAAGGAAGGACGACGGGAAGGTCGTGAAGCAATCGGTCAAGGCGGTTGGCGGGACTTATAGAAAGTAAAAAAAAATAAATCCAATGATAATCATATTTGATTTTGAAAATTTCGACGATAATAAAAATGAGAGGTAGTGAGCGGGTTGTATAAGATTACAATGGCAGAGCCGCCGATGGCTGGTGGGACTTCTAGAAAGTAAAAAAAATAAATTCCAACGATAGTTATGTTCAATTTTTAGAATCCCAATGATAATAAAGAGTAGGCGGTGGATGAGTCGTAGAGGAGTACAGTGGTAGAGTTTGACGGGATTTCTAAAAATTATATATAAAAAAAGAAACCCAACGAAACAATAAACTCTGAAACCTATAAGATCCAATTTTTAAAGGTTCGTGCTTCTAAAGTAAAAAAGTAAACCCCAATGATAATCTTGTTTGATTTAAAAATCTCAATAACAATAAAAAGGGCAACAGCGGGTGAACCGTAGAAGAGTACAGTGACAAAGTCGCTGACTTTTTGGCGGAACTTCTAGAAAGTAAAAAATAAACCTAAATAATAATTATATTCGATTTTTAAAATACCAATGACAATAAAAAGAAAAGGCAGTGGATGGTTGTAGAGGAGTATAATGGCAGCGTTTGATGAGACTTCTATAAATTATAAAAGCGAAACCCAACAGTAATTTGAGGAGCTTGCAATAATTTCATTTATAGACATACAGTACATTCTATGTTTTCACTTTTTATTTTCATAAATAGACACGAGGTTTGCTTTTTTTTTTTCATTAAGCAAAGAAATAAGTACAATAGTGAGATGTTCCTCCACTTCACTTGCCAATAGTTCATTTTATTCTCTTTTTGCTTGTAAAAATTGTGGATGCAACAGCAAGCCGGATCCTTTAAACTTGATCTCCGTAATCTCATCAATCCTCCTCGCCATCTCCGGTGTCAGGTGATTCCTCTAATCACCGACCACGCCACGCCGGAAGAATATGTTGTTCACGTAGGTTTTATCAACCATGTCAGTTGTCCCCGACTGGTTCACTTCCAACCTCGACAAGCTCTCCATGGCGCAGGCCTCCACGATCTTCCTGTCCACTCCGAGCTCCTGCTCCTCCACCATGAACGGGCATCCGACGAACTCGGCTAGGTGTCTCAGTTGGCCGAGTGTATCGGTAGTGAGCTCCTCATAGGTCAAGAAGAGTACCTGGCTTGGTCTCTTGGTGTGCCACCTCCAATAGCCAAGGACATGCTCCCAGTACGGGCCAAACAGTGAGACACCATCGCAGAAGTGTCGATGTGCCTCGTTGATGTCCCACGGCCTGAACCTGTTCAAGAAATGCCAGAGCGAGATGAAGCAGTCCTTGGAATCCTGGACAACACCTATCATTTACATACGATTTAAATAGTTATAAAAAAATTAAAAAAAAATTAGTAACATCAATTGTGATGATATAAGTCTACACACAAACATGTAGGACTAAATTTGATTTACAACTAGAGAAACAAAAATAATAAAATCAGACAGTGAATAGTACCCGTACAGTGCAGATAAAATTTGTTATTTTTGTTTCATCATATATCGATCGAATATAGACTTGCATGTTTGTATAGTGTCTTATATTATCATAGTCTATCTTACCAAATTTTATAATTTTTTTATATAAATGTTTAAATTACATACATACACCTAGGTGCCAGGTGCCATGGCATCTAGGTGTAGAAAATACTTTCTGTTGGGATCCCGGCATAGATACACCACTTTGCAGCCGGAGTCGGCAACAGAGTCCGGCAACGACTGGGACGGGATGTGCGTCATCAAGAGCCGCGGCGCCGGGAGGGAGCTCAGGTCAGGGATCCGGTCTTTGATGAACACCTGGGTCTCAAGGAAAGGAACGAGCTGGTGGGGACTGTGCGCCGCTAGATCGTTGGCCCCGCGGTGGAGAGCCGAGTGCAAGAGCGTCTTGAGCCAGGTGGTGCCGGACTTAGGGAAGGTGACCATGAAGATGTCGGTGGTGCGCGCCGTAAGGTGACTCTTGATGACCATGGCACTCACAACCCCCTCCGGGAACGTGTACCATCCGTCGGGGTGGCGACTGTACGTGAAGCTGTTGCTGCTGTTGGGTGCCGTCGGGAAGGTCTCCACGGTTTGTCGGAGTTGGTCATAGATTTCCTTGTGTGCGGCTGCTTCATCAGCTGATTGGGGTGCAAAGGAGAGCGGGAAGGAGGGCGCCATGAAAAGTGAATGCAGAACACCAAGGACTAATGGTTGTTAGCTGGTGTTGTGATGCTGTGATTCTGTGAATATGTGGGAGCGTAAAGTGCAAATATATAGGCGAGGAGAGACAGATTCGGAAGTCAATAGAACATGAATAGTGTTCAAACTGGCAGTGACATTTTGACATTAACTATCTTGTTAGCATCTCTTAAGTGTTTTCATATGAGTCTCCCTTTCTTTTGTCAATGCACGTGATGATCAACTTGAGCTTACAAGAATTTATTAATTCTTCTGAGGATCAAATTGTATCATGTCGTCAATCAGTGAGTTTAGCTCTTAATAGGGAGTATTACCGCCCCTTTTCTTAGCGAGGATGACACATGTGAGAACGTACTATACTGATTAGAAGATACCTTTAGAATCTTGTCCTGAGAAATATGGATAAAAAATGATAAAGACAGCGTGTTATAT